TATCACGCAGAGAAACTCCGAGCATAGCCCTCTCCATAGCTCGCTGAGCGACCTTGAGCTTCCTCATACGGCCAGCAGTGAAGGACCACGTCTCAGTTCCGTAAGTCATCACTGGCAACACGCACTGGTTGTACAATTTCGTTTTAAGGTTTTGAGGTATGTCTGACGAGAAGATGTGTCGTAGCTTCCCGAACGCTGCCCAGCCGAGTTGAATCCGTCGATTGACCTCTCGGTCGAAGTTGGACTTACCTAGTCGGACTATTTGTCCCAGGTAAACATACTCGTCAACAACTTCGAGCTTAGTGCTCCCAACAACTACCGGCATAGGTGTGACATGGACATTAAACATGATCTTTGTTTTGTCCATGTTCATCTTAAGACCTATCCGTTGGGAAACACTATTGAGGTCATTGAGCATAGTGCTTAGGTCCTCCAGCGATTCTGCCATAAGGACTATATCGTCGGCAAATCGAAGGTGAGTGATGTACTCGCCATTGATGTTGATACCGTATCCTTTCCAGTCCAGAAGCTTGAAAACGTCTTCCAATGCAGCGGTGAAGAGTTTCGGGGATATGACGTCACCCTGTCTTACACCTCTCTGCAATTGGATAGGTTTCGTATTCTGGTTCTGTACTCGGATAGCCATCGTAGCCCTACTGTACAAGCACTTCAACACTTCGATATACCGACAGTCAACTTGGCACCGCTGAAGGGACTGCAGCACCGCCCAAATTTCGACGGAATCAAAGGCTTTCTCATAGTCCACATACGCCAGACATAGTGGCAAATTGTACTCTTCGGACTTCTGTACAACTTGCCGAAGGGTATGTATGTGGTCTATGGTGCTAAAGCCCTTTCGGAAACCGGCTTGTTCGGGAGGCTGGAAGTCGTCAAGTCTGCGCGCGAGACGATTCGTAATGACTCTCGAAAACAGCACGTAGACGCGGCTCAGAAGGGAAATCGGTCTGTAGTTCTTCAAGAGAGCGTTGTCACCTTTCTTGAAGAACAAGACCACCGCACTTCTGCTCCACGCCTCCGGTGTAATGCCACCATGGAGGACAGAATTAAAGAGCTTCTGAAGGACTTCAAGTACCGGTCTTCCACCCGCTTTCAGAAGCTCCGCTGTAATTCCATCCTCCCCCGGGGCCTTACCGTTTTTAAGGTGCTGGAGAGCCATCCTAATCTCGCTCAGACTGACATCCGGGATATCTTCGGAATAGTGTCGGATGAGACTCGCTCTTGGATCGTTACTCACACTTGCGTGTGGCTCCAACGATGATGTGTACAGCTGCCCATAGAACCTCTCAATCTCACTCAAAATCTCAGGTGTCCCGGAAACGATGCTGCCACATTCTGTCTTCAGCTTTGACAGTTGGCTCTTTCTGGCAGACAGATCTCTGGCAAAGACTTTGGAGCCTTGGTTCCGCTCGATCGCTTCTTCAATACGAGCTGTATTGAAGTTGCGTAAGTCACGCCGCATGCATTTGGAGATCTGTCTGTTCAGATGCCTGTATGCTGTCAAGTCTGTTGAAGAATGTAGCTTCATCTCCCGTCTAACAGCCATGAGATTAAGAGTGTGATCGGAGAGTTTTTGTGTTCTTCTGCGGCGGGTCTTGCAGAACTTAGCTCCGACCGCATGGACAGTTTCCACGAGCTTGTCATTCATATCGTCCACTTCATTGCAGTCTTCCAGGCACTGAAAACGGTTTTGTAACTCGAGCTGAAAGGTTTCGGGACTTTGGAACAGAGCACGAGGGGGACGGAGCGTTGACTTCATTAGACGAGACCTCTCCAACTTAACGTTTAGGTTCAGTGTGCCTCTAACCATTCGGTGATCGCTACCAGTTTTCACCCTCGCGATCACGGAGACATCACTGAACAGTTGTCGTCTGGTCGTCTAATAAAAAATATTGTTGTTAAATTAAAAACAAAACATAGAAGTCATGAAATCTACGAAATGTGAGACGCGATGAAATTGAAGCGCGCGCCCTTACAAAATGATTTAAAAGCCTACAAAACAATACAAGAATACATAGCACGGTTAAAGTAGTCTAACATATTATTATGTGTAAAAGGAATGCTCACACTACTTAATGAAACACAAAGCTGACGTATAAGGTCGGGGAAAATGTTTCTTCGTATTTTATACACAAACTAGCTGGCCAGGCAGACGTTGTTCTGCCCTTTTCGACGACCCTTCATATAAAAATTCCTTAAATGCATAATAAAAAAATATTGAGTGTCACTTATCAGGATAAAACTATCCTATCTCTCAAGTTGGACCAAACTGAACACAGTGTGCAAAATTTAATTGAAAACAGTTCAGTAGTTTAGGAGTCCATCGCGGACAAACAACGTGACACGTAATTTTTATATATAAAGATTAAACACATTTTTTCAAAGTTTAATTACATTAAATTATAATATATATATATATATGCCATTTTGTTCGATAACTTGTTGCCATCTTGTGGGTGCGTTGCTGTAGAAATCGTGAGATTTCTGATCAAAAAATGTGACAATTGGTTTTGACAGTCCACTCTTAAAGAGACCGAAACAGGTGAATATCTGAGGATGCAATGTCAGGACTACATGGTAAATGCATTAACATTTCCCAATCAAGCTCTCTCAATTTTTTCTGAGTGGTCAAAGATATGTGTGATTTGGCGTTATCATGATAAAAGACCACTCTTTTTCTCTTGATCAATTCCAGCCGTTTTTTTTTTTCAATTTCTTGTTTGAGTCTCATTTGTTGTTGGCAGTAGAAATCCGAATCGATGGTTTTGCGCGGCGGTAAAAGCTCATAATAAACAACGCTCTTCCAATCCCACCATACACACAGTATCACCTTATTGCATGTTAATTCGGGTTTCGCTACAGTCTTGGAGTTTGACTACTCTTTGAACATTATCTTTTTTGCACGATCTTGTCGTAAGTGATCCACATGGTTCAGTTTCATTACGTTTTAACAAAGAATCGCAAGTGAGTACACAACTTATTAGGTTTCTTTCAGTGAGCTCGTATGGTACACAAATATCAAGCTTTTTTGTATAGCCGACTTTTCAAATGGGTTTAAACTAATTTTATAGTCAATCCTCAATTCCTTGGTTATGTCGTAACTACTAATATGTGCTTTATGCGTAAGAATGGCGGCTAGAGCGAATTGCATCTTTGACATCAAAATTCCCGGACTAAAAACACTTGTACCAACTTTGTGCTACTCTTCCTGACACTGCACTGCATTAGTTACATAAACGTCACAATTTTTTGTGGCTTGATTCGCATTTTTCACTTTTTTTCCAACCGACTTCAAAAAGGGGGATATAGTCAATTCGACTATATGTTTTTTTTTTTGTGAGCTACCCCATAACTTTTTATCGGTGAACCAATTTCGATGATTTTTTTTTATTTGAAAGCTGGTGTTTCTCATCTGGTACCATATAAATTGATCTTGGGCTGATTAGTATTTTTGAGTTATCCTTAATAACTTATCTATAAGTCGGTTGTACTTTTTTTTATACCACTAGTAATAAAACTTCAGAATGTATCGAAGTATCGAATTTCTTCGTTAAATTCACTCATTTCGGCGGACAGAAAAACAATAGAAAAATGGCGGGAAAGTGTTTTTAATTTTAATTTTTCTTTTTCTTAAAGTCCTATATGTATTGTTACTAAAACCAGCCAGATACAAACAGTACAATCAAAGAGATTTTTCTTCAATTTTATACAAACAAAATACGAAGAAACTTTTTCCTCGACCTAATTATTTTAAAATATTTGTTTTATGGTGGACAATTGACGACAAACTGTTTAAATGGATTGTCACTATAGGTGAATGATAGATTTATGATATCGAGCATAACTCTAAACAAGTATTTTAATCCAGCGATACAAAAAGGGTGTATCAAGATATTAGGTTAATATTCTACCGTAAATTAGGTGAACACATAATATATTATGTAAAGAAAGATTGTGAAAGATTTTTATAGAATGTTAGAAAAAGTCAATATTAATGAAACTAAAAAAACAACTGCTTTTAGTAGACAACGCAATGCACTGGGACACAAAAAAAATCATCAGTCATATCACCAGTTCGCCAACGTGAACTGATCTATCTTCTGATATAGTTCATAAATTCTATTATATTCAGCTCATAAAAGTCTAGTCTAGTGGTTAGTAAGCCTTTAACACAGATATGAATTTTCTATAATCGCCTCGGGTAGTAGACTAATCGGCAATATCAGACATATTACACTTTTGACGCTACCTACGTCGCCAGTTTTGTTATTTTACTCCTACGTACGTGTTTTAATAGCATTTTCCACATTCGCCTCTTACTACACACCACACGATGCCACACGATGAAAAAAATCATTTTTTTTTACTTTAAAATTGTCTTATTGAGAATAGTAAAATATAAAATAAATAGTTTTATGTTCATACCTTGCCACAAAATGTATTTATTTATTTATTTAAAACTTTATATGCACAGGTGGACTTAATGCCTAAGACATTCTCTACCAGTCCTGGGGTGATGCAGAGATAGAATGAAATAGGTGTAGTAAAAAGTAAATATGAGAATACTAAAGTAAATATAATCAATATCTACTTTCTATTTAGCTACAACACATTTTATACTGTTGGGGAAAGCAGCTATCGTTTTATAACAAAGCACTTTTTGCGTTAATACATTGACACCGAGCGTGTAACGAATTTATGATAATTTTCTTACGTTGAAAATATTATATTCGATTGCTGTTATTATTCTATCAAGATTTTTTAAACAATTAAATTCTTACTTATCTAGCTCCTTATAATATTTTTTCTTACTGGTATAGAAAATAAATTTACATGGAAGTGAAAATCTCCTCAATTGCTCGTTCAACCTTGACACTTCGGAACAGCGATACCTTTCGTAATCGAAGCAACAAATAGTATAAAACATCATCGATGTCAAGCCAAGTATCATTCATTTGCTGAGCATCGTTGTCTGAGCAACCATGAGGACCAGCCTTCTAGTGGCTTTCGGGCTGGTAGCCCTCATAGTAGCGGTCTCCGGCAGGGAGATCCGCGAGAAGAGGGAAGCCGATCTAGAAGCTGCCGCCTCACATGGCCACCACTGGGACAAAGGTGGCGGCCATGAACATCACGCCCATCACCACCACGAACACGGTGACCACGGCCACAAAGGACACAAAGGCCACCATGAACATCACCACGGTAAACACGGACACCACCACCACGAAGGTCATAAAGGACACCATGGTGAGCACGGTGGTCACAAAAAACACCATCATCACGATGAGGGATATCACCATCACCACGACCACGGCGAAAAGGGCGAACATGGTCATGGCCATGAAGAACACGGGCACTGGCACAAAGGACACGATACGAAAGGACACCATGGCGTCGAAAAACATGATGAATTCAAGAAAGACAAGCACTTCCATGACCATCATGGCGAGAAAGGGTTCCATGAGCATCACGGTGGACATCACCATGAAGATGGATACAAGAAGGGAGGTCATTTCCACAAGGGTCACAAACATGGCGGCCATCATGAGCATCATCATGGCAAGAAGGGTCACCATGAGAAAGGAGGACATCACCATGACCACAAGGGGCACCATGGAGAAGGTGGCCACCATGACCACTGGCATCATCATCATGAACATGGCAAGAAAGGAGGTCATGAGGATCACAAGCATTGGGGACACAAGTCTGGTCACTAATGTATGGTCAATTGTAACTTACTCTTTGTTATTTGTTGATTTCTTTTCATTTTTTTGTTACTTTTGTACTGCAAATAAGAATAAACACGTTTAAAAATGATTAATACCTATTTATGTAACATTTTCTCTCTATATTTTTAATCAACATATTAATGATGTATTTTTTTTTTAAATAATTTAGCGGGTAACTAATGCTCGATTCTATACAAAGTGCATTTTTGGTAACGTATATTTTGACATTTTGATTTCAATTAGCAACGTTTTGATAGTCTATACTTATTTCTACCATACCATACCTGGTAGAGCCATTCTGCAGCTAAATTAGCTATATTAGACCACGCTCTCACAGAAGACCTTGCTTTTAACTGGAAACGAGGCATTCCATCGTAGTCCTCAGGGCTGAAAAAGCGTGTGCAATTGAATTCTTAATCGAGTATAGATGTAGATATTTATGGGCCACAGTATCCACTTACCATCAAATGGATTGTGTGCTCGTTTTTCACACTTATTCTATAAAAAAAAACATGGGTGAGTGTCGTGGAACAGTTGGTTGGAACGAAGTTCCTTTCGTAGAATATTATTATTGATAAACATATTATATTATTGATTAACAAATACAAATAAATGAATTACTAGCGTCTATTAAAATAAAGCGTCATTTAAAATAAATCAATATCTATAACATGTCAAAATAAGAAGAAATGCGAGGGAGATAGATATTATTTCATCTCGCTTCCTTTTAGCCGCCAAGGCCGTCTACACTACGTCAGAAGGGGTCATGATGTAAATCTTAAAACTTTTTCGCCTAGCCCCCAGACACCAAATTCGTACCGTCCGATAACGGATTTCGTTCCAAAAATATGGAAAGAATAGTAAGAATGTTATAACCAAAGATTTGATCGAAATTAATTCTAATTCTAAGTTTTAGGAGTACGAAATACCTTAAGTTCGCGAATTAAATTCATTAAAGGAGACGGTCCAAAATTGTATGAAGCGTAGGCCTAGTTTATGTACTAGTATGGAAATAAGTTAAAATGAAATATTAAACCACTTTTGATCATTCAAATTCACGAATTTGCCTTAATTTCAGTGCAATTAATATTTATTCTCACCAAAAACTGCAACACTAATGGCGAATTGAAGTCGTTTTGATTTGACGTTAGCTGTCATCTCTGATATCACCTATAGCCATAAATTAATGATAAGACATAGCGCGGTCAGAGCGCTAATGTAAAAGTACTACCTAATTCCAGACAAGAAGATTGTTGAGATAAATCAACGGTGTCTACACACAAAATTATATCATTGCATTCATTAGTGTGTACTAATGCACACTTCAGTGCCAGGGGCATCCAGGACATTTTTGTTTTACATGGGGAAATGGAGCCTAAGTGTTTTGTTAGCTTTTACAAAAATTATGTGCCAGATAGCTCAAAGCCGAGATTATATGTGAATAGCGGGTAACTCCGTTTCTCTACCCTAAAAAATTCACCCTGAGATACTACTTTATTGCACTAATAATTAAGAATATATTTAACTCATTTTACTTTAGAGTGGCTGTTTTAAGGTGGATAAACAGAATAATCTTGAATACTAATTTCTGTTCAGGTATATGTGTCTATCTGGGCTGCTGAAGTGCTAGAGTACAATCATAGATAATATTTGTTATAATATGGTACATTACAGTTGTTACAAAAGAATTCGCATCCTAAATACGTTTCCGGCGTACAAATATTTTCATATAACAGGTCCTCAGCGTGTCAGAGTATGCCTTGAGCCTTGACATATATTTAAAGTCTGGATAATGTCATAACAAAGGTGAACAGTCCTATAAGTTATAGAAAGTGAAACATTAGGTCAATCATGTTTTGGATACTTAAGGTAATATAAATAAAACAGCTTAATTTTTAAATTTTTTTATTTATTTATCCTACTTCGAAATTCTCTCTTAATAAAATGCCATCCAGAATTGAGGCCGGTGCGGTTATGGAATTTTGATACCGAGCCCAACACAAATGCCAGGCAGCGGTCATCATGTGGGCACAGCAACCCACTGTCTGTTATCCAGAAGTGCAACTGCAATAATAACCTGCAATCATCTCATCCCAACTTGTCCCTTGTCTCGCCAACAGTATATATGTATAATAAGCTCTGTCCGAGTGATGGTGAGATTTTATACGGCCGCTTATTAAAACAGAGTATAGTTGGGGTGATATTAATCGGGTTACAACTTATCTGCTACCCCGTCTTCGTTGACACCAATATACAATATACTCATAATATTGGCATTAAGGCGCTGAAGTTCATTTTCATGATTTGTGCCGACAGATAATTCTCGTAATACGTTTGCAAAACATTGTGAACATATTGGTGCATTTTCATCCATCTAGAACAAAACAATTTTACTTTAATAAACTATCTATATTGCAGAAGCGCATTTTAGACAGTGCAACATGTTTTAACAGGTGAACTGAAAGATAATTACATCATATTAAGCATTGAGTTATATGTACTACGTACTAGAGAAGCCATCCCAAACAAAAATTGTGCCCTACTCTATGTCTTCGCGCATGCGCGGGAGTAGTAGTCGCGCATGCGCGAAGACTTTAATTTAATATAAAATAAGGTATTAATATAATATAAATATAAGAATTTAATATAAAATATCTTAATTTAATCTAAACAAACACATTTCTAAATAAAATGTAATAATAATTATTTTATGGAATTCACAAATCTTCAATTTACGCAATATTTAGTTTGTATGGATTGCACTACAGTTCAGTTGAACATAGTCTATGTTCGGAATGGCTTCTCTAGTACGTAGTACATATAACTCAATGATATTAAGATTTTGCAGCCATTATGAACTTATGTAGAAATTAATAATTATTAACAGACTACAGATAGAAGCATGTCATTAAAATGCGTTTAATAGCTTAAGGAAACATCTTTTTTTAATACATACCTGCTTACTGATTCAAAATGTGATTCTACAGAATACAGATGTCCGATATCAACGAAATCGAGATCTCACGTAAATAATTAAGTCCATAAAACAAAAGCAGAGTCAAGAAGTCGTAATCCAAAGTCCAAATCTCCAAAGAAATCCACAATTAAATACATTCACGAGTTCAGAACAAGTTCGGATTAAATAAAAATATCATTTGACAGAAATGACATTTGACAAATAACCGTGTCTTTTTTGCTTTTTTATGACTGGAAGGGCACCATCTTGTAAAACCATTAAAAACTTGGGATTGCATTTTTATTTTTTGCAAGTTATTTAGTTTGATTTATTCTCTCATTTTATTTTTAACAAAATCCCTGAATTTTTCTCTATTTTACGGTATACTGTACATAGACTGGGCCAGAAATGGACCGTCTCCTTTAGACGCGAATCTCTATTGAGTAGGCTTTCAGGTTTTTTTTTCTATATTGAATGACAGATCTGCCAACTGCCAACCTACTTGAGACTCAACTAGTAGCGTGTTGTCAAAGCATGGTATTAATAAAAAAACGAACTAAACAATAGAAAACATACATGTATTAAAAAGAAAACTTGTAAAGATCGCATTGGTTGTAAATAGAGTTTTGAGCTTTAACAAATGCAACCTCTCCTCTCCCGCTACGAAGTTGTCATATAAAAGCAAAAAATCGAAACACATTGACGCAGTAAATTTAAAAATAATCAACTTTGAACTTTTCTTTACGTCTCTGTAATCTCAATAAGAATACTGTTTTCATTTCCTTCGCGACTAAATATTGCAGATATTTTGAAACTTGTTTATTTTGCAATTTCACTGCAAGCTCGTTTAATTTCTGCGCAAATGAAAGTTTTTCAACAATTTCAGCAAAAGCAAATACGACGCTATTGAATTTTGATTCATACTTTCATAATTTAATCACCATATTTTTAAATATTCGCGTATTTTAAACATATCTTTCAATATTGTGCATTATGTGTTCTCTTACTTTTATTATATAAATGAAAACTGCTCTTTTAAGAAAAAAAAATAAGAAAAAGATTCCCTTGCAAGCCTCGTCATGTCGTCACTCCATCTAATCCTGCATTAGATGGAGTGACGACATGACGAGGCTTGCCCGCACGCACTTGCCGTTGTGAACCTGGCACTCGAGAACGTATCTTCAGAGTAAAACATCAAAGACCACAATCCCAAATCTGTAAAATTAGTTCCATTTAAAGGCAATTTTTTTCTAGGCTGTTGATAATCCTATGATTAAAGATAATTAATAAATAATAATGTCCTCCAGAAGTAATTGTGGCCAGCCTCAACGGAGACTAGCCATCGGCGCAGGACAGGATTATAGTGCCCAAGTATATGGGCAAGCACAGGTGCACTGTCTATTCCCTCACTCTCATAGTACGATGAGACGGTAAACCGACACGACCGAAAAGAGATCAGGCGCAGGACCAACGGCTTTACGCGCTTTCCGAAGCACGGAGGTTAGACACCGTTAACTTCCTCCGGGGAAATACTGATTTTTTTTATTATATATTGTTGCATTATATTGTATTGTATTATATATAATTAACCTAACGATCAGCAGTCGCGTTTACAACCACTAGACCAACGAGGCCGTCAAATTAATTATTCATACGATAATCGTATAAATATAAAATACCTAGTCAGGTCATAAATTCTGTCACATGTTTAATATAAAATAATTGAAACAAGTTTATTCATTATGTAACCATTTATATACCAAAATGAACTTAACAAAACATAGATTCTTATGACACTAAAGTTTATTCAAAATGACCTCCGTGATTTTGAATACAGGCCTTCAATCTTCAATCTGCGCGACCAGTCGTCTATCGCAGCACGAACGAGGTCCATGTCAATATCGGCGGCTGCCTTAATCAAGGATGTCTTGAGTGACTCCAAATTGCGATGAGACTTTGAGCGCGCCTTTTCCTTCAAGTGTTGCCATATCTTGTAATCTAACGGATTCAAATCTGGACTGGAGGAGGGCCA